CAGCCCCTCCTCACCCCTGGGCACTCTCCCTCTGCCAAGCTCTGCCCCAGGTCTCCCTGCCCCTCCATACCCGGGAATTCCCCCCTCTCTCCCCCCAGCTTCCCCACTCGTCCGGGGGATCCTTTCCATCAGTGCTGCCCCTCAAGTGCCCCCCTAAGAGCCATTCCACAGCGCCTGGGCTAACGCTCTTCCTCTTCTCCCCACGAACCCTTCTCCTCTGGGATTTATGGCCATGGCAGATACAGCTTAAAACCCATCAGTCATTTTGGAGCGATGTAAAAGAAGGTACGACTTTGACTAATTTGAAGACCGGAAAAACCAGGTAACTTTGCGAACGGAGACACTCTGGGCTTCTCCCCCTGCACCAGGACAGGTTGGGGGTGACCTGCTGGAGAGCAGCTCTGAGGAGAAAGACCTGGGAGTCCTGGTGGACAACAGGAAGCCCATGAACCAGCAATGGGCCCTTGTGGCCAAGAAGGCCAAGGGCATCCTGGGGGGCATCAGGAAGAGTGTGACCAGCAGGTGGAGGGAGGTCATCCTGCCCCTCTGCTCTGCCCTGGGGAGGCCCCATCTGGAGCACTGGGACCAGTTCTGGGCTCCCCAGTTCCAGAAGGACAGGGAACTGCTGGAGAGGGGACAGCAGAGGCTACAAAGATGATGAGGGGCCTGGAGCATCTCTCCTATGAGGAGAGGCTGAGGGACTTGGGTCTTTTTAGCCTTGAGAAGAGAAGACTTAGGGGGGATCTAATCAATTCTTACAAAAACTTAAAGGGAGGGTGTCAGAAGGACGGGGCTGGTCTTTTCTCAGTGATGACTTTGACTAATTTGAAGACTGGAAAAACCAGGTAACTTTGCAAACGGAGGCAATCTGGGCTTCTCCCCCTGCACCAGGACAGGTTGGGGGTGACCTGCTGGAGAGCAGCTCTGAGGAGAAAGACCTGGGAGTCCTGGTGGACAACAGGAAGCCCATGAGCCAGCAATGGGCCCTTGTGGCCAAGAAGGCCAATGGCATCCTGGGGGGCATCAGGAAGAGCGTGACCAGCAGGTGGAGGGAGGTCATCCTGCCCCTCTGCTCTGCCCTGGGGAGGCCCCATCTGGAGCACTGGGACCAGAGGCTACAAAGATGATGAGGGGCCTGGAGCAGCTCCCTTACAAGGAGAGGCTGAGGGATTTGGGTCTTTTTAGTCTGGAGAAGAGAAGGCTGAGGGGGGATCTCATCAATGCTTATAAATACTTAAAGGGTTGGTGTCAGGAGGATGGGGCTGGTCTTTTTTCCAGTGGTGCCCAAATATAGGGCAAGAGGAAATGGGCACAAACTGGAATATAAGAAGTTCCACCTAAAGATGAGGAGGAACTTCTTTGCTGTGAGGGTGGCAGAGCCCTGGCAGAGGCTGCCCAGGGAGGTGGTGGAGTCTCCTTCTCTGGAGACATTCAAACCCCACCTGGACACGTTCATGTGGGACCTGCTCTGGGTGGACCTGCTCTGGCAGGGGCTTGGACTGGATGGTCTCCAGAGGTCTCTTCCAACCCCATGGGATTCTGTGATTCTATGAAGCCTGTGGTGTGGATTTGTGAGCTTCTCGGGGAGGAAGCATCCATTTGGGATTGATCTCTAGCACCATCCTGCTCACTTGCAGAACTCAGATTCTTCAGGGGATCTTCCAACCTTGCAATCAGAATTCTGCAGTTCAAATAAGAAATGTGAGCAAAAGCACCCAAACAACAACAACCGTAACCAAACAAAATGGAAGAGAAGAATTGGGAGAACAATCACTCCTCTTCCAAAGGGCTACCGTGCATGAGGTGAATAGCATGGCTTTTTCCAAAGTTTCTATATCATAAATGCTCTGAAATAATCTTCCACACCATACACATAACAAAAGCCACATAAATCTCAGAACAAAGTCTGCATGTTCAGTGTTTTCTAGACAGTTCCTCGTGTTCTCAAGGCAGCTTCTTTTTTTCCCCTGGCTCGCACATCAAATGGGAGAGAAATTTCTATGTGCAAATAACTGAGGGCAAAGATTGCCTCCTGGTATGTGCACAGCTCTTAACGAGATCAAGTGCTCCGGAAAGTGTTGGTTTAGGGAACTGTTCTTTCAGGGAAGAAAAGAACAGACCAGTGGGGAGAGCAACAAATAACCTTAGCTGCCTTTAGCAACGACACTGTGGGACAAACGCTGAAGCATTTTAATGTGAAATTTTAGGAACTGAGGTCATGAAGTCCCGTTTGTAATTTTCTGTGATGCACAAGGTGTCCTGGGGGTGCTGCTGCCCTTCGGGGAGCCCTGGCTCTGATGTCCCCCAGTCCAAGAGCTTTCCCTCAAAGGGAATCATTAGTGTTTCCCAGGAATCCAGCAGAAGTGGCCAGGGAAGATGTGGCTGTTGGGGAAGGGCTGGGGGCACCACGTGAGCCAAACCTCTAGCGATGGACGGGGAGAGCTGGTCTATAGCAGTGGCCTTCTCTAGCACCCAGCGGGGGAGCTGGGGAAGGACCTTGGGAGCTGGGACCCCCCCAGAGGGTCTGGGGGCTCCTTTGGGCACAGGCCAGTGGGTGCCAAAATGGCCCAGGTTCCCCCACTGGGAAGGAGCTGGGGGTGGTCCCACCGGGAGGATTGTGTAATGAAACGTTTTGGGGGTTTCTGCAAAATCACACGTACATCTTCATCCATCCATCCATCCATCCATCCATCCATCCATCCATCCATCCATCCATCCATCCACCCATCCATCCATCCACCTTCAAACAACCTGAAAGCAACCACTGAGAGATTTCCAACAGTTTCCGTTGGGTCTCATTTAGTGGAAGAAACATTTGAGACAAAACAAGACAAAGGCAGAGTTAGAAATACAGAGACCAGCTTCGAAATACTTAAACTTCCACCTAACTTCTAAATACCTAAACTTAAGTGGCCAGGGAAGATGTGGCTGTTGGGGAAGGGCTGGGGGCACCACGTGAGCCAAACCTCTAGCGATGGACGGGGAGAGCTGGTCTATAGCAGTGGCCTTCTCTAGCACCCAGCGGGGGAGCTGGGGAAGGACCTTGGGAGCTGGGACCCCCCCAGAGGGTCTGGGGGCTCCTTTGGGCACA